AGGCCTTCACCAAACTATTGTCTGTGTCCACGGATGATGCACATACGCATATAAGTTTTTTGGTTAATCTCTCCCCCCCACCCCCTTCCACTACTGTATTTTGGAAGCAGATAGCTTATTTACTAGCTTCACAGGAAGCTACTATAAGAATTTTCTAAATGCTTCCTGATTTTCCCAACCAATCTCACTTTTTCCTAAATCCCAGCCCTTTTCCAATTTCCTGCTCCCATTTATTATCTACAATCCTTGTTTCTCAGATTCATTGCTTCTGGATTTATGCTCTAAGAGCACACAATCCAGAATGGAATGTGTGTATGCTAAAAGGATGCCTGTGATGAGGTACTATGGAACAGAACCCAAACTATTAGAAACAAAGAATGGCAAAATGACATTAAGACAAACCTAATTTCATTTGTTTTTTGTCTTATCTTGTTAAAATGTCAATTTGGTGTACATTTTATAATACAGTTGTACATGTATATAATTTACAAATTAATTGATAAACATCTTAGGGAGTGTCTTAAATACTTTTTTATCAATAGGGATACATAGTTGTAAGTTTAGAGACTACTTTTCCAAAACAGGAATGCTGCCCAGTCATTGCTAAGCAAAGTCCATACTCCTGTTGCCCAAACCTAACCCTGTTTTGAACTCAATCCTTAGCTTGTAATAATTCAATTAATAACTTAGTTTTCATAAAATGGCTTATAGGGGCTTTTACATTCTAAGAGTTTATTATTTATCTTTTTCTAGTGGTAATCATAAAAAGCTACATAATGACCTGTTACTGAGATATGCTTAAAAATGTGGCAAATATATGACATGAAAGTAGTGCTTCTTATTTGTAGATTAACACCTTATAGACTTGAAATGTTCAGCATTAATTTATTAAGATATTAGCTAATGCAAATATTCTGTGCTGGAGTTAGCTCATGCAGTTTTATGAACACCAATTTTGTATATCCCTTCTCTATTTTATACAACACCCGGAAGTTGGTTTTGATGGGAATATTTACACAATGGAAATAAGAAAATACTACAAATCAGGGCTTTCTTTTCCTTCCCCCATCCCACCCAAGGGGACTGTTTAGCATTGTAAGGTTTTTCAGGGCTAATCTACTTTTCCCAAATTATGCTGTGGAACATGGGACTTTCAGATCCTTTGTGAGAAAGTGTTGTATGGTCAAATATGTTTCAGAAATATTGTATGTAGAAATGTACTCTATCAGAGAGCCACAATATGTATGAACATTCTAAAATCTCTAATACTTTATGCTGTGGGGAAAGTTATTTAATTTTATATAACTACCATTTCCAAAACTTTATTCACAGAACTCACTTTTGTGTTATATTAGTAACTCATTAAATTAGTATTTTGTAGAGTACTCTTTGAGAAATAGAGACATAGATCATGTTAATTACTTACTGACTTAAAGTGTGTTTTATTTTCAGCCCTGCCAAGGTAACCCTGCTTGGGTCAATTATCTTTACATTCCAGCACACCGAGCACCTGGCAATAGCAAGGCATAATCTTGTGTTCCTCTATACCGTGTTTCTTGTGGTCACAAAGGTAAGAGTTCAAAGTAGAAATAAATCAGTTACAAATTTTGTGTAACCAGAATTCTGTGTACAAGGCAAATAACAGGAACATTTATTTTTTATTGTTATTCCAGTCTAAAAAGATGAATTTGGGGGAGTTTATTCAGCACATCCATGACTTTCTGAAACTTAGCTCTCCTATGATTCCTCATTTGGTTTATGCTGAGGCTACCAGGAAAGACTTGCAGATAGCCTAATAGTATATTAGAGGCTAGAGAGTAGTGGAAATGGCCAAGGCTGAACAGAGACTGCAGAAACAGTGTCATCTCATTTGTAAAACGAGGTTTTGAGGTAGATGTTCTCTGAGGTTCCTTTAAGCTTTAAAATTTTGAAATTTCATGTTAGGACATTTGTGGTCAATCTCTTGTGTTATTGTCTAGTTCGAAGCTTTATTCCTTCTTGAAGATAGGTAGTATGGCCCGGCTGGGCGTGGCTCAGCAGTTGAGCATTGACCCAGGATCCAGGCGATCGGGGTTCAATTCCCTGTCAGGGTACATGCCCGGGTTGCGGCCTCGATCAATGACTCTCTCCTCATTGATGTTTCTGTCTCTCTCTCTCCCTCTCCTTTCCTCTCCCTGAAATCAATAAAGATATATTTTAAAAAGAAAAAGAAAAAGATATGTAGTATGATATAAGATCACAGGTTTTCGAGATAGGTTGTCTGTGTTCCCATCTAGCTTTGCTTTCTAATCCCTGAATAGGCAAGTCACTTAATGTCTCTAAATCCCAATTTCCTCATTTTCATTGTATGATTGTTGAGAGGATTGGAGATGACATATGTCATTCTATTTTTGTGTCGCTGACTCATCTTATGAATTCTATTTGTGGCTATATCATGAGGCTAATCCTGGTTATTGTTATTCTTATCATTATTAGATATTGTTCCCTGCTCACAGCTAGACAGTTAATTTTAAAATAAGATAATTATTTAGTCCTAGAGAAATTTTATAGCTAACTTTATCTCAGTCTAGATATTTTTGGCTAAAAACTTATCTACAGGATTCTTAAAAGGAAGCAGTATTATGTTATATAAATTTATGTCTTAAAAAGAACCAAGTCACTGTAGGGATCATTTGTTTCTGTTTCCATAATCTCTGCAATGGAGGTGGTCTGTGGCAGTAACTCGAGTAATGCCAATATAAGGCAAAATCTATTCACATGTGCCTTCCTCTTCCAGTCCTCAAATTTTGGGCTGTATGTATTGCTTTGTAACAGCTTTACTGAGATATAGTTTACATATCATACAATTCATCCATTTAAAGTGTACAATTCAATAGTGTTTAGTACAGTCACAGAGTTGTACGACTATCACCACAATCAATATTAAAACATTTCATCACTCCAGAAAGAAACTGCATGCCCATTAGCAGTCACTTCACATTTTCCTTTAATTCCCCCAGCTGTAGGCAACCACCAATCTACTTCTGTTTATAACTTTGCCTATTCTGATATTGTATGTAAGTGGGATCATACAATATGCAGTCTTGTCACTGATTTCTTTCACTTAGCGTAATGTTTTTGAGGTTCATGTGTGTTGTAGTATGTATCAGGACATTATTTCCTTTTATTGCCAAATGATATTCCATTGTATGGATATACTACATTTTATTTATCTATCAGTTGGTGGATATTTGGGTTCTTTTACTTTTTGGGTGATATGAAAATGAGCTATGAACATTCATGTTCAAGTTTTTGTGTGGATATATGTTACATTTCTCTTGGGTAGATCATATAGGAATGGAATTACTAGATCATATAGTAATTCTACATTTAATCTTTTGAGGAACTTTGAGGAATTAACCAAAGTGGCTTTATCATTTTATATTTCTACCAGCAATATATGAGACTTCTAATTTCACCACATCTTTACCAATGCTTGTCTTTTTCATTAGAGCCATTTTAATGGGTGTGATGTGGCATTTCATTGTTATTTACATTTCCCTGATGACTGATGATGTTGAGCATCTTTACATGTGCTTACTGGCCATTTATATATCATCTTTGGGGCAGTGTCTGTTCAGATCTTTTTCTCACTTAAAAAGTTGGATTGTCTTATTATTTATTCAGTTGTAACAGTTATCTATATATTCAAGATACCAGTCCTTTGTGAGATACATATATATAGCCGATATTTTTCTCCCAGTTTATGGCTTTCTTTTTCTAATTTCCTTAACATTGTCGCTAGAAGAGCTGAAGTTTTTAATTTTGATGAAGTTCAGTTTATCATTTTTCTTTTATGGTCCTGCTTTTTGTGTTCTATCTAAAAAATTCTACCATATCTCAAGGTTGTAAAGATTTTTCACCCATATTTTTTTCTTATAGTTTTATTGTTTGTTTTTTGTTAAGTCTCACCCAAGGATATTTTTTCCATTGCTTTTCAGAGAATGGGGGGGAGGAGATANATAGTTTTATTGTTTGTTTTTTGTTAAGTCTCACCCAAGGATATTTTTTCCATTGCTTTTCAGAGAGTGGGGGGGAGGAGATAGAGAGAGAGAGAGAAACATCAGTGTGAGAGAGACACATTGACTGGTTGCCTTCTGCATGTGCCCTGACCTGGAGCAGGGAGTGAACTGCAACCCAGGTATGTGCCCTTGACCAGGAATCAAACCTGTAACCCATTGGTTTGCTGGCAGACATATCTAACCACCGAACCACACTGGCCAGGGCTTGTTTTTGTTTTTACATTTAGGCTTATGATCCATTTCTTTTAAAAAATATTTTTTATTAAATTTATTGAGGTGATATTGGTTAGTAGGATCATATAGGTCTCAAGTGTATGTTTCTATGATACATGATCTGTATGTTGTATATGTGCCATTTCAAATTAAATTGTATAATTGGCAGGAGGTAAGGGTCAGGTTTATTTTTTTCATATGAATATAAACTTGTTTTAGCACTTTGTTGAAAAAGACTATCCTTTCTCTCATTGAATTATCTTGGCACCTTTGTTGAATGTCAGTTGGCCTTAGACATGTGAGTCTCTTTCCGGACTGTGTTCTGTTCTATTGATTTATATGTCTATCCTTAGCCAATACTAAACTTTCTTAATAACTGTAACTATAGTTAAGTTTTGAAATCAAGTAACATAAGCACTCCAACTTTGCTCTTTTTCAGGATTTCTTTGTATATTCTAGGTCTTTTACATTTTCATATAAATATTATTATAAGGGTGTCACTTGGAGTCAAATTCTATTTACTATAGGTAATATGCTTTTTCTTTTAACAGTTTGCTAAATAAGGAGATAGTTTTTTTATTTTATTTGTAAAAGAATAAGGGTTCATTCCATTTGTCACCATTATATTTGTATCACCTTGCTGAATCAAAGCCTCGTAAGAGGCTGAATTCACAGAAGTCTGTCCTTGAACCTCCTAAGTCTATTTCAGCAATACTGATGCTGGCAATACTTCTCAGCTGAGTGATGACTCTACTGGGAGTAGAGCTTCTATTAAAACACTGGACTTGAAAAACACTTACTAGAGCTCATGTTCCCAGGAAATACTTTAGATCCTGACACACTTCTCTTTTGGATTTTGTTTTAAAAAATGCTGGGTTTTTTCTGACAGTGGGCCATTGTTTTTATCAGAATTCTTTTATTTTTTATTGGCAGTCCATGTAGTCAGTAATTTTGCTAGTACACCTTACTGTAACTATTTATTCCAAAGAATAGTTTATAAGGAAGTTCTTCTTAGATCTTACCCAATAATGGCATACACTTGGAGGATAACATTATATTTAGATTTTTTTTTTTGCTATATTCTCCCCAGGTGACCACATTCATATTTGTTCCTTTACCTTTTACTTGTATGGTAATGCTTGCCAAATCTATATCCTGTACTTAAATGTTTCTGGGCTAACCTCCATTACTGCAGTTCTCTTCACTGTTTTGTAATTACTGATTTACTTGCTTGTCTCTGACTAGTCTATAAGGTCCTCGAGGGCAGGGACTACATTCAACATCTTTCTGGCAGCCAGGTGTAATGCACAAGCAGATTATTTAAATTCTGTTGATGGTTGGTTTTAGACTTTGTTAGTGCTATTGTATTTTAAATTTGCCTTCTAGAATGTGACTCTTTTGGTGTCTCAATTTAAGCTTGAAGTGTATTTCTGGGCGGTTCCACCTTGCCTAGCCTTGAACTTCAACCTGGCTGCTGAAGTGTGTGCTCAGCTCTTTAGCATCCCAGCTGTTGCTGTCTGCTAGGTTTTGAAATCACTGTCTCTGTACACAGTTAAGGGTTGGTAAACTCCTCTAAAACAGATCATGCATGGATTTTTGGGCTTGCTTCCATGTGATTCCCTCCTTTTGAGCTGCATTTCCCTCAAGTCTAGATGCTGTGGCCTTCTCAGACTCCAACCTTAGTCTCCTTAGCCTATTTGGGACTTCTACCTTTTATTCCCCTATGCTGTGAATGGACACATATCCTTAAAGAAAAAACTAAGGGTGAATGTGAAGTTCATCTTGTTCAGCTTCCTTTCTCTTAGGGATCATACCCCATCAGGATCTTCCTGTATCGGTTGTTCTCCAGTGCCTTTAAATGGTCTTAGATATTTCTGTCTTTTGTATTGATTTTGGTAAAAGACTGGACTCTGATATAAGCTGTTTAGTAATGCTGCCCTGATGTCCATGTGCATGCATTTAAAAATGCTATTTTGTTTATTTTTATTAAGGTCAAATTCACATAATGAAATCAACTATTTCAAAGCATACAATTCAGTGGCATTTAATACATTCAGTGTTGCATGCCCATGCATTTTTAATTTATATAATGAGAGTAGTACATTATAGCTCTTGTTCTTTGTCTCATTTTCACTTAACAATATGTTTTAAGAATTTTTCCATGTATTTTTATTTATTTTAAAATTGCACAGTATGCATTTCACTTATTCATTCTTCTTATCATGGACACCTACTTTGTCTCCAGCTCTCCATTACCTATACTATATTGCAGTTAATAAGAATTTGTTCTTGATTC